TCTTCTCCCACGGCCATCTGACTGCTGCTTTTTGGGAATTTTGCTGAATTGTGGGGATATTGATGGATCGTTGATTATTTCTGATGATTTTTAGAGTGCAATGAGATGGAGTGATACGCAACAAGCCCAGGTGACGCTATCCTCTTGGATGCTGGTTGAACCACCAGGGAGCTCAATTTGTTTAACGCTCATCAGCCCACTTGCGAATGGAACATGCAAAAAAAAAACAACTGAAACTTTTTTGTTCAACCTCCAAGCACGAATATAGAGTATAACATAGTATAACTACTACATATAAATGTATAGTATACCGTATGGGTCCTATCCAAAAACAAAAAAAATGATGGTGACATCATCAGCTCAGCGCCTTCTTCATGGTGGTGAGCTGAGACAGCCATACCTCGACTCTCTCGAAGCTATTGGATGGTGGGGGTGCGGGGCCGAGGTCCAGTGGTTTTTTCTAGGGCAAGATTTTGGGGTAGTTTACCTCATCTGAAAAATTACATTTTGGGATATTTTGGGGTAGTTTCTATTAGTTTCTCGTATTTTGGCCCAAGTTGTAAATCCAATGTAAATCCCATGAAATATCAAGAACCGGGGTCTAAGCCTAAGCCCGAAAAATAATGGAATTCAAACAGCAAAGATGGGGAGATTGACAAACACGTGCTACACATCAATATCGATCAATGATAATGTTCCATCATCCCTGATCATATCAAGCCTTCTCTTTGGGTGACAAGAAGGAATAGATATTCCATGACTAAAGCATGGGTTCTGTGGGGGTGTTTGATGGTTAGGGGGGCGGCTTATACAATTGCATGAAGATGGAAGTACATCCAAACCATAATCCAAACGATATTTAAACCACTAAGAACAGGTGATGACGATTTTTGGTTGCCCAGGGCCTCAGCCACTGGGAAGAAGCCAGATTTCTACAACAAGCTGTGGGTGCACGCACCATATTAAAATGCAAATCAAGAATCCTAGGTGGTGCCCCCACAGTTATAAGTTGGATTATAAATCATAGGATATATATATATATAGATACACCACAAACTTTTAAAGCATAATATGTCTAACTATCGTTTATCAACCATATATCTACATATATCTACCATGAAATGCCATGAAACCCACCGTAACGGCCTGCCCTGTGGCACCCAGTGACCTCGACGCCAAGTGGCATCCAATGGCTTGCTGCCAACCTCGTCCTCTGAGATGCCCAGGGTTTCACGAAGCACCTGACTCTAAGCAACGTTCACAACGCTATGTGAATGTATACATTATTGAAAAAACATATGGTGTATATGGTGAACATGGTTTACTATCATCATGTATGCATTGTTGGTATTATCATTTGTTGTAACCGTGACTATCATGAACATGAAATATGTACAGTATATACACATATATGTAGATGTACATGATATACATCGATGATGTAAAAATCCGAGGTCACTAATCTTGAATTACCATCTGGTTATTTAACATAGCCATGGAAAATCACCATTTTTTATAGGTAAGCCATCTACAAATGGGCCATTTCCCATGCCTATGTTAAATCTTGATTAAAAAAACGAGTGGGCCATGAGTGGGCCAATTTGGGAGCACTGGCCACGACTGGTGCTACCGCAAATAGCAGCTCTGACCACTTCCGGCCAAGTGACCCCCAAGTCATCACCATCGGTGGTACAAACCATCCATCCGTTTATGGTAGGTTTATGGCAGGTTTCCCACATTACAAGTAATCAAGCCTGATACAACTTTTGAGTAGTTTCGTGCCAATGCTGAACAGTGGTGGACTTCAATAGAGATTTCCAGGCCCTGTGCTTTACTTGCCACTTTCCAGGCCGCAGCAGCCATGCCCCAGCAACTGCATCGAGATTGAATCATAGCCACATGGCTTCAGACAAGACACTTCCACCACATCTGCCTTGCGGACGAAACCTGCAGGGGAGATCTGAAAGGCTCAATGTTCATCTAATTTTCATATGTTTCATAATGTTCGCCCCAGAATAAAACCCCACTTGACTCCAGCAATGATGGCAAAAGCCTCAGTGCTGACTGAGACTTCTAGGACATCCTGACAGCGCTGTTCCATGGCTTGACCCCATGGTGATATAATCCCAGGTAGGGTAAAGGACATTCCAAAGCTTTCTTGAGACCACCAATGGTGCTGATCTGGTAATTTAACATAGCTACGAAAATGGCCAGTTCATACATATCTACATGATTAATCTCTTTGAAATTGTGTTTGAATAGTTACTTGCTACTTTCAATGACCAGAAACTACTAGCCATCAGCTACAGTGATAGAAACCCTTCTGCAAGCCTTCGTGGTCGCAGAATTCGCACAAACGCTGTCGCAGGTTCACATAGCCCAGAGGTCCCCACACCTGGATCAGTGATGGGTCACGACGAAACACCAATTAAGTCATTCAGTGACATCCCATGATATCGTTTTACATAAATCATCTAAAAACCATTCTGATAAATTATATCTCAAATCCAAAACCAAATTCCATCACTTGGTATTGGTATGGATCCACCTCCCACTTTTTCATGGAATTGTATGGAATTGTTATGATTTCCCCAAGGTATGGATCCACCTCCCAATTTGTTCGCTGGATCTGACCTCCTGAACCTTCCGATGGATGGTGCCCTTTAGCGCCGCCAAGGATGGGATCAATGCAAAGTGTGCTGCTGGATGTTCACCACCCAGCTGCCTGGACCCAATTGAGAAAGCACTGGCGGGGGATCTATGTACATGACTATAACCTACTATGTAAACTGATTAAATATATATATATGATTATATATATATATATATGTATGTATAATTACAGAATTATATAATTACATTATATATGTAGTTATACTTAAATATAGTAATTATATGTAATTATAAATAAATCTTGTCGGGAGTGAAGTTCAATGCTTTCAAGACGTGGTTTCCTAACATTGGCTGGTTTTTGATGATCCTGGACTACAGACCATGTCTGGAGGTGTTTTGTTGCATCCAGAATCCGTCCCAGCACCAAATCTCCCAACATCCTCCAACATGTTTCAACATATTTCATGTCCATATATTTCATGTCCATGACAAATAGCCATAAGTATCCGTAAGTTATATATAGCTTTCCAGGGTCCCCATGGGTCCCCATGGTCCCAAAGCAGCGGATTTTTTTCGCCGTGCCTCATGGGATTCAAATCTTTCAAGCCCTCGTACATGGCGTTCAGACCCTCATCCTTGTGGACGGCCAAGATGAACTTCTCACAGCCCTCCAAAGAGAAGCGCTGTTCATTGAAGGACAGAGACTGGCAAACATGTGATAGTATGTTATAGTCTGTTATAGTATGTTATAGTCATATAGTATGTTAATAGTATATGATAATGTAATATGTAACAATAAGCTAAGGTTGTAATAAAGGATACCAACATTTCAATACTGGGGAAAGTAATCAGGTTCCAGCATAGTTTTCCACTGCAACTGGTGCAAAATGGGGTCAGCATGTTGAGCCCTTCAGGGGCCATGGGCTGACGCGCCTTTGTGAACTCTGCATTTCGATGAAAGGGTCCAACACCTGCCACGTGCGGATGTAATCGATGAGTCGTAACGACATGAGCGGAACCGGTAAGAGTCACAGGCTTCAGAGCTATGAATCAACCGGAACTATAATCAACCACATATCAATATCCAACCACTAACCATATATCTGGATAAATTCTATAATATTCCACTAACCTTAATTTCCGGCCATTTGGGGATAATAATTTACCCAGATATATGATATATCTAACATTCTCCAAGCATATATCGAAGCAAGTGGTCAGTTGCTCCCCCGGGTTCCATGGCTTCCATTCGAGGCGCCTGTTGGAGCGGAGGCTGCGACGTTGCCCCGGAACTCTTTGTCAGCCATGAACATCCTGCGGATTCCACAGGGGGTCATCAAATACCCTCTCCCATAGGATCCATGTATGCTATACCCTCTGGTAAATTAACATAGACCCTGGCAAATAGGACTTGGAAGATTAGTTTCCATTAAAAATGGGTTATTTTCAGGGTCTATGTTTATTTACCAGAGGGTATATGGTAACATTTACATATATTTACCATCAATATACCCCCAATGTTAGCATATATACCATACATGGATCCGTCATGGGTCTGGTAAACATACAAAAAACTATTGAAGATTGCCATAGAAATAGTTGATTTAACCATCAAAAAATGGTGATTTTCCATATAGTTATGTTTGTTTACAAAAGGGTAACACATATGAGAGCAAACACATGAAAACTGCATAAAACTATTATGATTGACTGTAATGTCAGAAACAATATCATAGTGATAAAAACTCGCAGCTCGTAAATGTTTGCAACCCCCAACCAGCTAGCGATATGGACAGACTGGGTCCTGGTGTTGGTGATCTGATCCACCCGCGAATAGTGGGCGTGGAACGGAACTTCTAGGCCTGGCAAGTCACCGAAGCCACTGGTTTTTATCTGTCCTCATATTTTTGGAACTGGGATGCCAGTGCCTGGAACTTCAACGATCTTGAATCTTGGACATGAATATCCACATATATATATATATGTGAAAACCACTGTCATGCAAGCATGTTTGGAATGATGGAAATAACATGGAAGGACATAGCCATGTCCCATTTATCCTCAGGTGGTTTCTTATGAGATCGACTGCATCTACCGATTGCACCTTTGGCTCCACTATCAGGGCCCTTGAGCCTGACCTAAGGAGGTCAGTGCTACTTTCGTGCGCCCGTGGAAGAAACAGTGGCGCTGTCGCGCGTTGATCCGTTCCGTGATTTCATCATGGTAGCGGAGCGTTAAGCTCCAGCTACGCTCCTTTGGAACCGGAAGAGGTGCTTCACTGCACCCGCGGTTAACATAGCCTGTTCTGGCTTGTTGGGTGTTGCATTTAACCGGAAATTACTTTTTTGGTTTGGTGCAATACAATTGGTGGCGCAATATAGTTTGCAATGGGTGACAACAAAGATCCTTTCCGAGACATCACCTTCGATGGTCAGCCTGGTGGATATCGTGAATTTAGACGGAAGGTGATCCTGTCAGCTGCAGCTGTGGAGTACAAAAATCAACATCTTGTTGGACCAAAACTCCTCAGCCGCCTCACAGGTGAAGCTTGGCGATGTACGGAACATTTGCCAATCTCGGAAGTGCGACTGAAAAAGGGTTGGGTCAAAGTGTTGGAGTGTCTGGATCAACACTATAGATACCTGCCTGAAGTAGAGTTGCATGAGGCCATCGATGAGTTCATGTTCAAGCTGTCACGCCGTCCAAATGAAGGTGCAACTGCTTTCTCATCTCGATTCCGGACACAATTGTCGAGATTGGAAACACTGATTGCGCAAGAGCGTGACATAGCAAAAGAGAAAAGAGATGGCCGCAAACGAAAGCATGATTTCCCTGGTCCCGCATCACCGGTGCCAAGTTCCTTGGCCGAGTCTTCAGAATCCGAGACTGGTGGTGGCGATGAGCCGGCAGATGAAACAGATGATGCTGAACCAGCAACTCAGCCTGAGCAAGCTGCTGAGGCTCCTGCAAGCGATGCTCAGCCATCGCAACCTCCAGCTCAGCCAAAAACTGCCTCGAGACCTCCTTCAAGGACTTCTCATCCACCGTCACAGCAGGGTTCATACAAGTCCGTGCACAGTGGTTCGAGTGGTCGCAAGTCGAAGCGTCAGCTCTCGTCTGGCACTTGGCAAGCAGATATGGAGAAGCAACAGTTGGAGATGCAACAGATTCTGGGTTCGGTTGAACGTTCTCATAGAAAGCCAAAGCCTATCTTTCCTCAATCTGTACTGGGACATCTGTATATGAGAAAATATGGTTTATCAAAAGAACAACGGTCACAAGTGATCAGAGCTACAGGTGGATCCTCACGTTTTCTGGATGTGGAACGGATTCTTAGGGCTTCAGACATTGAGGACAATCATCGAAGAGACCCAAAACGTCATCAAGTTCCTTTCAAATCTCAGCGTCGTGATGCCTATGCCGTGCAGGTGAATGATGATGATGCGAGCTCTTCTATTGAAGCGCCAATGTCAAGCACTGAATCAGGTGAAGAGGCCATGCTGGGTGAGACGGGAGAAAAATCTGGTGATGGATCTGATGAAGGGTTGCAAGAGGTTTATGAAATGCAGAAAAAGGCAAAACGGGATTTCGAAAAGAGTTTTCGAACATACAAGGAAAGCAAGAAAAGAGTGAAAGAGATCAAAAAGTCACGATCTGGGACTCCATATTTCCCTGTGGTTGCAATGACTCCTGAACAAGCAGCTGCCTCAAGCGGTGCAGCACCAAGCCAGAAGTCATTCAAGTATGATCAAAAACAGATGGTAAAGCGAAAAGGGGATGGAAAGTCTCAGAAGCAACAAAATCCACGAAAAGAAGATGCAAATATGGCAGTCACTGAGGTTCTCACCGAGTTCAGCTACATGGTTGAAGATCAGTTTGTGCTGGGGGATGATGTACAAGAGATTTTGCTGGCCTCCATACCCACTGGTTATGCAATTTTGGACACTGGTTGTACTACGTCAGTTGTTGGGGAAGATACTGCAACTGCATATCGGGATCTATTCCAGCAGAGTGGTCATCCTCCTCCTCAAGGTGTCGAATTGCCGCCTGTTGAACTGAAGGGTTTCAATGGTCGAAAGGAAACTACCAACAAAGGTTTGAAATGGACCGTACGTTTGGGGAATTTGCATGGTTGCATTACCACATACCTGGTTCCTGGTCAAACACCATTCCTGCTCTCAAGATGTGTGCTAGAGGGAATGGGTGCCTCCCTGGACTTGGGTCGCATGACCATCACCAGCGAGAAACATGGGATGCAATCGCAGCCACTCCAGCAAGCAGCCAATGGCCATTTGATTCTGCCTCTCTACCCGGTAGAGGACATCAAGATTGCCGAAGCGCCAGCATGCAGCAGCCAGGACTGCCAACATGAGCCCAATACGAATAACCCTAAGGATAATCCTCAACCCAGGGATAACTTAGTTCAAGATAGGTCTGATAGTACTGAAGATAACCCTGAAAAATCTTGCACTAAGCCCCATAAGCCAGCCGTTACTTTCAAGCCATCATCACCATCTCAAAGCCTCAAAGACCGAAAGAAAGCCTTCCAGCATGTTGTGAAGAATACCAAGAAAGGGGTAGTTGATGTTGATTGGTTAAAAGAACAACTGGTAACCATTTATGGTAATAAGGGTGAGGGGATAGTCCATGCTGCCGTTGCGTACAAACACAAAAAGGAAAGAATCCCCCAAGATGCAGGACAAGTTCCCTACATGGTGTCAGTGGCCACCCTGTCCGCCGACGGACAATTACATGTGAGCCCTTGGCAATGCCGTCCGCAGGACCCTGACAGAAAGCCTGTCAATGCTATGCCTGTTGCCATTTTTGCATATGCGCATGCCGAGTCTTCCGAAGAGACTGCAGCCGTAGGTCATGAACACACTGAGGCATGTTGTACATGTTGCAATGATGCGGAACCCCACCATGATGTCCCTGCCAGCCAGTTAGATGTTGAACAACTGTATGATGAAGACAATAACTGGGTAGATGTAGGCCATCAGGAACCTGTCCCAATGCATAGCCAAGAGAAGTTGCGAAATGGCACCCGGTCTCTCCGAAAGCTTAGCAGCCGCCTTGTCGTGTCCCGGATCTCCGAAGATCCAAGTGCTGTCCGTGCAGAGCTCCAGCATTGGTTAGGATCCCAAGCCGATAAGCTTGACAAGCCTGTTGGTTTAGCTGAAGTCTTTACAGGAAAAGCTCCCTTGTCTGCCAAATATGAAGCCGTCACAGGTTTGGGTGCCATCCGAATTGGACTTGACTATGGCCAGGATCTAACCAAGCTTCAAGATCGCCAGAACTTGTTGCTGCTGATTGCATACTGTCGTCCACAGCATGTCTGGTTTAGCTTTCCATGCCGACACTGGGGACCTTGGTCACGTTTCAACATGGCTAGGAGTGAAACAGCACGTCAAGAGATCATGGCTCAGAGGGCGATTGCTAGGAGATACCTCAAAAATGTTAGTGAAGCATGGCACTTGCAAGTAGGTCTTGGTGGTCAAGCACATGCAGAAAATCCTTTAAGCTCCGATGCATGGGATGAGCTGCATTTAGGTAAATGTTGGTCCCAACGAATAGATCAATGTGCCTTAGGCCTTCGCTGTCCAAAGACCAAGCTTCCTGTGTTGAAGGCAACCGGAATTGTAACTTCGCAGGAATCTCTTGCGAAAAGACTTGTGTCATGCCGTTGCGATGGAAAGCACAACCATCAGCACTTGGAGGGGAACTACCGTGGCCAGCCTTTGACCAGATGGGCTGAAACCTATCCCAACAAGTTTTGTCGTGTCATGGTTGAATGTTTTCAGTTGCAAGAGCCTGCCAACAATCGCAACATGCCAATAGAAGAAGTGTTTGCTGCAGAAGATCAACCTGATCAACTTGCACAAATCCCGGAGTATGAACCTGATGTTTCAGTTCCTGTTGAACCGCAAGCAGCCGAACAAAGTCCTGCAAGAATAGCTGCCATGATACAGAAACTACATGTAAACACGGGTCACTCCTCCAAGGAACAAATGATGCGACTTGCTGTCCGATGCCAGTCCTCTGCCGAAATTCGGAAATGCATATCCAACTTCCGTTGTGGTGTGTGCGAAGAACTGAAACAGCCGCCATCACATAGGAAGGCAACTGTGCTGCACAATGAATCGCCGAATCATGTGGTCGGTCTCGACTTTGTCCAGGTTGAACTCAAACGTGAAGATGCCAATGGAAAGGTTCGAGAAATCACCAAGAATGTTTTGACTTGCGTCGACCTTGCCACAGATTTTGCACAGCAGATCATTGTAGAGCCTGGTCCCCATGGTTTGTCTCGCGCATTTCACAATGCTTGGGCACGTCCATATGGTGTCCCAAAGATAATATACATGGATCCAGATCATAGGAACATTTCCTCAGACTTCCAGCGTTACCTTGTGCAAAACAATGTTCAACTCCTCATGTGTGCCGCTGAGAGTCATTGGCAGCTTGGTAGGGTAGAAATAGCAAATCGCATACTCAGAAACATGGCACAGAGAGTGTGGCGTGCAACCGAACGTCCACCAGAAGAAGTAATAGAAGCTTGTGCCAGTGTTAGAAATGACCAACTGAGAAAACATGGTTTTTCACCGTCACAATGGTTTTTGGGAAGAGAGCCGAGACATGCAGGCGATCTGGCCGATGTTCATGAGCAGCACAACCCTGTCTCACAATCCCAGATCCTTGCTGATCCCTCATTTGAAGCTCGAGTCAAACTGCGTGATGAAGCCGCACGCGCGTTCCTTGAGGAACATGCTCGAGATGTCTGGCGAAGAGCCATTGCTGGGCGAAACCGTCCCATGAGAGGCCCTTATGTTGCAGGTCAACTTGTATACATGTTTAGAAAAGCTGGTAGGGGACAACTATCAACTAGACATGGTCGTTGGCTTGGCCCAGGTAGGATCATAGGCACCGAGTCCTCCCAAAATGGTCCTGTCCCTAGGTTGGTTTGGGTTTCATGGAACGGGGCTTTGTACCGTTGCTCACCAGAAGGTCTCCGTCCTTTGCCAGAAGATGAGGCTCAATTCCGAGAACTGTCGCAAAAGCTGTCAGCTGGGTGTCTGCACGACGATGTCGAGAGAGCTGAAGAGACTCTTGATAAGCGTTGGGGCCAGTATGTGGACCTAGTGCCTGACCTTCCCACTGCCGATGACATGGAGTTGTCTCAAGATGTTGAACAAGAACCTGATTACGTAAACCCTGCACCTGAAACTGAAGGTGGTCCTAGAAAGGTCCGTAGAAGGTTTTACCGTAGTCAGCAGTACTGGGAAGATCGTGCAGCCGGTCGCATTGGACCTCATGGTGCGTTGCATGAAGGCGAACTGCCTACCCTCATCAACTTGGAGGGCGGTGTGGCAAACCAAAGTGATGAACCTCCTGCCAAACACCGTAGGATTTCCATAGAAGATTTAGAGCCCCCTGTGCCTGAACTTAGTTTGGAGAGTCCTGGTTCATATACCCCTTCAATAATGGATGATGTAGTTCAGCCCATGTCTCCGAATGCACTTAGCCCTGACACGCCTGCCGAACTCCAGCCTGATGCAGCCGCAGAACAGCTTTCCGATTCTGCCGAGGGTGAAAATACAGCCATGTCCGATGGAAATGCGGGTTTGTCCGTACCTGAATTGCCTGATGTTGTCATGTCGCCTGAAGAAGTCAACCGTCCAGTTGAAGTTCCTGTCCCAAATGATGATGATGAACTTGCAGTCCAACACCAATCAACTGAATGCCCAAAACATGTTCAAGAGGTGTTTGAAATGTCGGTTGATATAGTGCCTGATGACATCACAGACAATCCACTGTGTCTGTGGAGTGTTCTAGAAGATTGCTTCACGGTCAATGTGCCCAAAGCAAAGCAGCGCCGTGTTGAAGTGTCTTTCAGAAAGCTCACCCAAGGTGAGCAACAGCTGTTCACCAAAGCCATGCAGAAAGAATGGAACAGCTGGATAGAAAACCGTGTAGTGTCTCTGTGCCGGTCCCGGGGAATCCCAACAGAGCGCATCATCCGCGCAAGATGGGTGTTAACATGGAAGTCCTCATCTGACCCTGATGTCAAAAGCAAAACTCCAAAGGCTCGATTAGTACTTGTGGGGTGGCAGGATCCAGAACTTGGTAAGATAGCAACAGATAGTCCTACCCTCCGTAAGGAAACAAAGAACCTAATCTTGTCCCTTTGTGCAAGCCGTAAATGGCGACTATGGGGTGCAGATATCAAAACAGCCTTCCTTTCCGGTGACCCTTCAACCAGAGATATCTATTTCAGACCCCCTGCAGAAATCAAAGATTGGATGCAATTATCCCCAGAAGATCTTTTCAAACTAGAAAAAGCAGCGTACGGCCTGGCCGAAGCCCCAAGAGCTTGGTACTTACGACTGTCTAGGGAACTACTTGAGGTTGGTATGGTGTGCTCCCAGCTAGATCCTTGCCTGTATACCTTGAGGAAAAACGGAAAACTTTTGGGAATTTGTGGTATCCATGTTGATGACTTGATAGGTGGTGGAACCCCTGAAATGGATAAGACCCTGGAAGCACTCAAGAAAAAGCTGCCATTTGGGGACTATAGGACTTACACCATCCGATATACGGGAGTGGAAATCCGCCAAAACCCTCAAACTATGGAGATTGAAGTAGGTCAGGAAGCATACATAGATGCCCTGGAGCCAGTACCAACAAAGCCGTTGGGAAACGCCTCGACACCGCTTCAAGATCCCAAGATCTTGCGAACTTGTGCCGGACAATTGGCATGGGTAGCCAACAGCACGAGGCCAGACCAGTCGTTTCTTGCGTCGTACTTGCAAGGTGCTCAGGATAAAGGAACTGTTGCACACGTTCAGATGTATAACAAGGCCTGTAGAGAGATGAAAGAACGTAAAGTATGCCTCAGGTTCCCAAGCAACATCTCCGACAGCCAATGGAGAATCCTTTGCATAGCTGATGCAGGTTGGGGTACTAGGGGTAATGGAGAGTCCCAAGGGGGTTATATCCTATGCCTTACTACCCAAGAGATGTTTGAAAGGAAACGGACAAAGGCCTGGGTTGTTGACTGGCAATCCAAAAAGCTTCGTAGAGCAGTGAGATCGTCCGTTGCAGCTGAAACCCTAGCCGGGCAAAATGGACTGGATGGGATTGAGATGTTTCAAGCGTTGGTTGAAGAAACACTCCGAGGCGTCAGCCCCAAAGCCTTCAGATCCCAAACTCCAAAAGATCCAGCCGGGTTGGTAATTGATAGTAAAGGTTTCTATGATGCAATAACCCGTAGTTGCTGCAGTCAAGCTATTTCTGTTGAGCGCCGCCTCCAAATTGATTATGCCATCGCAAAGGAAACAATGAAAAATCAGAACATACTTGCGTTTTGGGTTAACAATTTGAGAATGAGTGCAGACTGTTTAACAAAACTACGTGGGGACACGAAACCGCTGTTTGAGATCTTGGAAGGTGGTACATACCACATCACCATATGCACACAGTCCGGAAGAAAGGAGAAAGCACAAGAGTCAGTGTCCGAACCTCCACCAAATGAATAGTTTCATCCAAAATAGTGCATAGTGTCCATAATTGGTGAATGCAGGTAGCTGAATGTATAGGGCAAAAGCCGTGAAAACCAGAGCTGCACGCCAACGATGGCGATCCACACCCTACTTGTCTAAGATAATGGGGTAAACCGTTTTTGTATAGATAAGTTGGATGGGACTTTAGTCATAAATAAACAACTGCCGGTATGCACATGCGTTTTTGCCTGCAGTGAAATGTTTTTTTTTCAGTTTGAACAGAAAAGCCAAATGCCATAGCGTTTTTCTGAAGTCAAGCTGGGCCGCACGGAGTGAGATCCGATTCACTCTGAGTTTCCTGAAGGTGTGAACTTAATCACCTTTGCCTAGCACCATGTCGATGCCGCCAGCGAAAAAGGTAGCTTCCAGCAGCCATGACGATGGGCCGCTCAACCAGCAGGAGATTTCTCTTGTGACTGGATTGCTGCACAGAGCCATCAAGTTCAAGCAGACGAGCCAGGTCTTAACAGCCTACCAGATGTCGCATGCTCCAAAGTCCAACTATGTGCTCCACCGTGCCTTGCTGCAACAGTGTGAGGAGATGACAGGTGAGGACCAAGGAAGTGTGGCAGGTAGCATGACCGATGCTACAAAGCGTCTTCGCGAAGTCGAAGAGGCCGAAGATGATGGCACGTCAAGCTGGAATGTCTTCTACTATGGGGACAACTACCCGCACTCTGGCAATCAGCCAGCACCGTCCTACGTGGGCAGCCAGGGACACACAGTTCCAACGCCCTACATGCAGACCCAGACAATGCCGCAGATGCCGACCATCAATGGCAAGATTCCTTTGCCGAAGGGATTGAGTGAGATCGCATGGGGAAAGAGCCTCTGCAAGTTGGACAAGGTGAAAGAATGGTCGCCCAATGGCCGCTCCTATGTGGGATTGATGGAGGATGCCAAGAAGTCTTCCGAGATTTGCACCTACCTCAAATGGATCAAAAAGACATTTGGAACTGGTGGTACAGGCATCATCAAGAAGAAGATCACTCCTGCAGTTGACCTTGCGCTCTACCTCGAGCGAATGGGTTGGTTGGAAGAAGAGCCGGATGCACCATTTGTGCGTGAGTTCGTGGATTGAAAAGTCCATGGTGCCATACAAAGGTTGAGCCTATGAATGCAATCAAAGCTGCTTACCTCGATCGAGGGCGTGTGAAAACCACTGTCATGCAAGCATGTTTGGAATGATGGAAATAACATGGAAGGACATAGCCATGTCCCATTTATCCTCAGGTGGTTTCTTGTGAGATCGACTGCATCTACCGATTGCACCTTTGGCTCCACTATCATGGCCCTTGAGCCTGACCTAACGAGGTCAGTGCTACTTTCGTGCGCCTGTGGAAGAAACAGTGGCGCTGTCGCGCGTTGATCCGTTCCGTGATTTCATCAAATATATATAATATATATAATATATATAATATATATAATATATATAATATATATAATATATGTATATATAATATATATAATATATATAATATATATATATATAATATATATAATATATATAATATATATATAATATATATAATATCTATAAAAAATATATATATATAATATATATAATATATATATATAATATATATATATAATATATAATATATATATAATATATATATATAATGGATATAATATCTATAATATATATATATATATAATATATATACAATATATATATAATATATATAATATATAATATATATATATATATATTATATATTATATATATAATATATATAATATATATAATATATATAATATATATAATATATATAATATATATAATATATATAATATATATAATATATATAATATATATATAATATAACATCTATACTATTTATAATATAGATATATATAATATATATAATATATAACATCTATACTATTTATAGTATAGATATATATATAATATATAATAAATATAATATATATAATATATAATATATATATAATATATAATATATATAATATATATATAATATATATAATATATATATATAATATATAATATATATAATATATATATAATATATATCATATATATATAATATATAATATATATAATATATATAATATATAATATATATAATATATATATAATATATATAATATAAATAATATATATAATATATATAATATATATAATATAATATAATATATAATATATATAATATATACTATATACTATTTTATTTATTATATGTAACAATACATACATATATATATATATGTATATATGTAGATATAAATATCCCATACATCAACCACGGTTTCCTCGTTAATTAAGTCCCAATTTTCTACCAATCATCTCCCGTTAGGCGACTGAAATGAAGATGCAGCGGAAGGCGGATCGCCATAACTGCGCCACCGCACTGAAGGAGGTGCATGGTGAATGGATCAGTTGGTTGATGGTGAATGGGAACATGTTTATAATAATGGTATAATGGTTATGTAATGGTTATATAATGGTTATATAATGGTTCTAATAATGGTTATGTAATGGTTATAATGATTATAATATCCCCATAATTATGGTATACCCTCGGGTAAACTGCCCCATAGCTATGGACAATAAGAATTTTTAATAGGAAAATCAACTATTTCGACTGGGCCACTTTCAATAGCTATGTAACAAATTACCAGAGGGTAATAATCAACTGAGAGATTATGAAATGGGTAAACATACAGAAAGATGTGGACACAAATCCAATGGTTTTCCTTGGTTTTGTGATCTGCAAATAGTGGCTTCTCTTTACAATGTAAACGTTTATCAGAGGGTATCAGTTGATTTTGTTCATACTGGGGAATGGGAATATGAACCTACAATCAATGATGAATGGGGGTATAACCAACAATCATGGATGATTAATGGATCATTGGAACAATGTGGGTAGACCCTACCATTTGGCTATGTCATATTGGGGATGGATTTCTCTCGGGCTTACCCCGTCAAACATCATATCTAGAAAGGAGGTCCGAAGATGGGGTGTGGGCCCCTAGTTTCTGGCATTTTCGAGAGGGAAGACTGATCATACCCTTTGGTAATTTTAGCAGTTTGCTATGGATAATCCCCATTTTTATCAATTTTTCGAGGTCTTTCTCATCCACAAATGGTCCAAATTTTCCTTAGCTATGTTACATTACAGGGTAAACCAGTGGATTATGATCCGTAGATTTTGGATGGGCCAACTTCTAGGTAGACACGCACATATTCACCTGGTGGTTTCGAACATAACTGGATTATGACTTTTCATATATTGGGAAGAATCATCCAAACTGACGAACTCCATCATTTTTCAGAGGGGTAGGTATACACCAACCAGTCACTGATGACAAGTCTATCTCTGCTTTTTTTGGATAAGACTTGTCCGCCAGAGTAGGGTAGAAACCACACATGGCGCGCTGGCGCCTGTAAAAAAAACATCCACTATGGGAGTTCATCATGAAGCACATTCAAGAGGAGTTTGGGCGGTTTGGGCTCTAGGTGGAAGCCTTGAGCTGTTAGAAACGTGGCAATTGGAATTCAAGTTTCCAGCTGTTGATAGAAAAACAACCCCCAAAATGGATATCAACATGGATTTTTTCCATTGAAAGGACAGATTCCCGGGAAATTTGGATGGGTTTCACGAGTCAGTCGTTCATTTCTTCAGAACCACTGCTGAATCGGGATACAGAAGTGCTCGGACTCACCAAAACACAGCAAATAAGAATCAACATTGAACGGAAGCAAAAGCCAAAGGTAGTCCAAGTGCACCCAAGAATTCAGGCCTTAAGTGATTATTTACCCCTATCAACTCCGGATTTTTTTGGGGCCTAAACCTTTATTGTTGGCGCCGAATCAGGCGCATGAATCGGAGAATCCCTGGCACATCCCGGAACCTCCACTCCGACAGGCGCCGACTCGGGGATATGTGGATGGTGAGGTTGCCGCTGTGACATCCCCCCAAGGTATAGCATAGGATGAAAAATTCATCCCCGTAGAAGCTGACTTCTCAGTATTTCCCTGTTTTGATACGGCATGGATGCAGAAACTTTAAAGGTGCGGCCAAGCCTGACTCATGGGCAGCGATTTATCATGAATATGGCCTATGAATGCAGTAAATCATCGCTTACATTTTACATCTCTTAGAATCTCTTGACACTTTTATGAGTTTCTTAGCAGTGACTCTTGGCCACAATATCAACCTGCGGTTTGCATCATCGGGATGCGGTTTACAAATCGATGGCGACATCTTTTTGAGAGTTGGGAACACCATGAAGATATGGAGACTACCATCTGGTTATTTAACATTGTAACATAGCCATGGAAAATATTCCATTATAGATGGTTTACCTATTAAAAATGGTGATTTTCCATGGCTATGTTAAATAACCAGATGGTACTATATTATATATTAATCTAGCAGATTATATGGAGAAAAGTTGGGATTGTCGAATCTTCGGCTTCCAATATGGAGGTTGAAATGGGGGTACTGCAAGTTATCCATGTTATTTTCGGATCCATTAAATAAACCATCCAGCGAGCTTGGGGTACACTGAAAAACCCATCCATTTTCCATTTTCTACACCATCCATTCATAGGATTTTCCATGAAATATATATATATATACCATCCATATAAATCCATAGATACACCATCCATATATTTGAATGGATGGATTTTCCATTTCAATAGGATATACCATTTTCCATCTATTTATGAACATAACTATAGAAAATCACCATCTTGAACAGTTAAACCAACTATCAATGGGCCATTTTCCACTTCGCTTTTTGTTTGACATAACCAGGCCGGGTATCCCCATATATTCCCATGATTTTCCCATATATCCCCATATAAAACCATATAAAACATCCATTTCTAGTGGATATTTCCCATATAAAACCATATATTCCCATATAAAACCTCCATTTCTAGTGGATATGTCCTATTATTTATGGGCTATCCCCATTGAAACCTCCGTTCTGACGGTGTTTTTCCACACCGCCGAGGAGGGAATGGTGTCCGAGCCGCCCTTCACCAGCCGACACCAGAAAGACGCAGCGCGGAAACGAGAGGTGGATTGTGAAAATCCACTACTGATCCCTACCTCTTATTGAAACCATATATATATATATAGTATATATATAGTATATATAATATGTATATATATAGTATATATGTAATTACTTAAATTCTAGCTTTGGGGACTCGGAGTTGTTGGGGTTTATGGAAACTATCCTCTAGTATTTAAACATGGCTGGAAAATCCCCGAACTAAATGGAGGTTCTAATGAGAGAGTCATCTATAAATGGTGGAGATGTTTTTTTCCAAACTCCCAATATTTTTTTTTGATCCCTTACCCCCTTTATTGAAACTAAAGATATTTCATTTCTAGCTTTGGGATGCTTTGGGGTTGAACATGGACTTAGGGTTTACCTCCAACTGAGGGAGGAGATGAAAGTCTTAAAATGTTGATCAAAGAAAGGATGTCCAAAAAGGCCAAAGGATCTGATGAAAGACATGATTCTTGCTTGTGAAGCTGCCCTTGGCTTCAAAACCCAGTGATTTCTGCGATAAACATCGATAAACCAGTTCACATTGGCAAAATCCGAGGAATTTTTTGGTTGGTCAATGCTGCCCTTGTGGAGGCCAGATATCGTGGGGGCCTGGATGAGTGCAGCAATGCTGAGAAGCAAGTCAAGGTCGTGGATTCCTCGAAATCACCGGAGGGCCATTGGGGCAGGTCAGGGCAGGTCAAAGCCACAAAAACCGCTTAACACGAGGGATTTTTTCGGAATCGCAACGTTTGGAGTAATTGAAGCCACCACACCAGTGATTCTTTGGATGAAAAACCATGCTTCGTATCTCTGAGGGGGTTTCTGACACGCTGAGTTGTTTTTTTTGGCTGAATATACAAGGAGTAGTTGCATTAAAACCCAGAATATCAGGGATAAGCATAGAAAAAACAGAACATATAACAGTTGGACAGTTGGACCGCACCAAAAAAAGAGGGAACAATCCTAGAAACTGACCCAACATTTCACCACATTTCGGGGAATCCAACTGGATTAACTCGGTTGAACTCATCACTGGGATATCATTGTGGACGATTTGGGAGAATTTTCAGTTGATTCGAGCCCCATTAAAAAATGAATTGGATGGTCATCATGGTCATCCCAATTGGACTAGCAACCCTGGCAACCCTTTTTTGTAGGTGACGACTATTTCAAGCGGAACGGAACGTTGCGTCAGAAATTCTTAAAACCAAGAATTCTGGGTCCCACGCTGAAGTAGACATGAGATTACTCCATTCATTGAATCGATGGGGACCTCATGAAATATCAATGGACTGTTATAAAAATGTATCTATTTTCAGATTCCCCATTTATTTTCATCACACTGAAAGTTAGATATCGATATTTTCTGGTTGGTGGTTTGGAACATTTTTTATTTTCCATTTCATATATGGGATAATCCTTCCCATTGACGAACTCATATTTTTCAAGATGATTATTGCACCACCAACCAGTTTTGTATAGCCCCATTGCTAGTTACCCTCTGGTAAACTGTCCCATAACTATGGAAAACCACCATTTTTAATGGTTAAATCAACGATTTCGACTGGGCCATTTTCAATAGCTCTATGAGTTTATAGTATATTAACATATATTAACCACCAAAAAAACACCTAACCATCATTAACCATTTTCCATAGCAAACTGTTGACACATCCAGGCCGGGTCTCATTTTCCCATCCATTCGCCAGGCGCCCGGCTTGGAGTACGTGGAGGAACCAGAGGCGACCGGATCCCGCTTAAAAATCTACCGGGTTTTTGTGGTTTTACTGGCCGGAAAAAAATGGATAAATGATGATAAATGGGATCACCTGCAATTTTTAGAGATTGATTTCTCGGTTTGGACAAACTCAAGCAACTTGAGCGGTGAATTGCGAAGATCCGTAAACTTGATAACTTGGAACTGGACCCATAGATCCCATTAAGTGGACTGGTAAGCTGTGTTTTTACTGGTTTTCATATCACACATCATGGTATTTCACATATCAAAAACCATGGTAAATCGATCGAAAGATCACATCCTCATCCTGGTGAAATTTCTGTTTCTTTCCAGGTGAAAACCCAGCGGCAACTCCATCAGCACAGGCGATGTTCGAGATGGAAGAAAATGGGGATTGATGCAGAAGGGATAAGCGTGTCTACTAATCATAGCGTATACAAATTACTAATCATAGCGTATAAAATGCTACTAAACCAAACTCTCCTTTTTGAAACAACGTGTGCTGGAACACCTGATTTATAGATGATTTTCTCATTGAAACCTCCATTTATAAGATATTTTTCAGCCACGTTTGATGATGGAGGTGAAGAATCCCATCAGTTCGAAAGCCATGGGTTTTTCATAGGGAATTTCGACATTCCATGGGGATTACCTAAAGGGAAACCACCCATCGTAGCTTTGAGGATCTCAGTATGACAAGAATGGGTGACCATTCCAGGGAAAATCTTGCCAGTGACGTTCCCTGAAATTGAGGCAATACACCCTACATAGGGATGGGTCAAAGCCTATGAAATACCATATAGCTGGGTTGATGAACATCCAATTACCAGCTATTTTGGTGTGAACGAAAAGGGTGCTGGGCTTTTGACACATAGCTACGTGGGTTAGTTAGTCTCAGATTTCTCTGGCGATGATCTTCTCAAGAATACGGTGGGTGGGCCAGCGAAATCCTGCACCACTGAAGGGATGGTTGAAACGAGTTGAAAGCCCTATAAATAATGGGATAAACCACTTATCAACTGGTGAAATATGTCTTAGAATTTGGCATCCGTTGACTTCTGGTGACATCGTCAACGCCCGGAGTTCTGTTGCTTATGGTTGGTGAATTACGAGCATTTCTCCCGCCTGAGAATGTAGATTATAGCCATTCTTGCGGGAAGAATTAGGGCAATTTCACATCATCTTCCAAAATTTTGCATCTCCATGAATCGGACCATTATGTTTTTTTCCATGTTAAAAACCATATGTAGAAAATCTCCAGCCATTTTCATCCATTTTCCCCAAAAAATCGGCCCCAAAAGCGAACAGCGCTAGGAAGGATCAGATCCTCAAAGGCCTGGCTGAAGGGGAGGCGAACTCTGACTTCGTCCCCATCGAGGTGGCGGTTTTTACATGTGCATATAACATATATATATATATACATATGTTCTATATACAGTATATAATGTCATATTATATATTATATATTATATATTATATATATATTATGTATTATATATATATATGTAATATGTATATATATATATGTATATGTAATATATATATATATATGTATATGTTATATATTATATATATGATAATATACTAATCTCTCAGTTTGCGCTCTATATTTTGATTCTTCTCCAGCTATCACAAATAAGTCCGTGTTTTTCCTGGCAAAAGAACGACTATATTTTTCATGGTCATTCACAGCCGTCGCCTGAAAAAGTTGCCCCAGTTCTGTGTCAGGTGCGTCACACGCGAACCGAATTGGAAGAGCATGAGGCTGGATTTACTGTTGTTTATGGTGTCTTCTTATGGGATATTACTATCATCACCCCAATCAAAAGGTTTGACCCTGAGAATAGCCGATTTTTGGAGGAAAGTAGTCTTTCAACCCAATAGCCTCTGGTAAACTAACATAGTCTCATAGTTATTGAAAATGGCCATTTAGTTCGTGGATTTACCCATAAAAAATGGTGATTTTCCATGGTCATGGGAGTTTCCCGGGTAGCAATGACAGGGATCACAGGATCATCCTATTTGCCAAAGGGATTTCCCCATTTGCTCTGAAAAATCCTACGATAGTAGGTACCACCCAAAAAGATAGACAGAAAAGGTACGAGATAATTTCTATAGGATCTTAAGTTGCAATTTTTCATGGATATTTTCCTCTTCACCATATTTTAATGATATTTTCATGATATTTCTATAGGATATCACCATATTTTCCTCTTCACCTTGGTGTTTCGGAAGACTTAGTCCTGTGATATCCCAATATTGAATTTTTAACCTCTCTATCATATCCTGATATCACCCATATTTAATCCCTTATTGTAGGGATATAACAGGATATAATGGGAACATAGGGATATCACAGGGATAGAATTATATATATATATTAAGATACATATATATATATATATACACATATATATATATATACATACATACCTACCTACCTACCTACCTACCTACCTACGTACGTACGTACGTACGTACGTACATACATACATACACACATATATATATATATAATATCATACACATTCCTATTTTATCATCGTTTCCCCCAGCCAATCGCAGCCTTCGCCTCTGCCCAGGCGCGACGTCCGGATCCCCACGCCATGACGCAGAACAAGCTGCTGGACGCGCGGAAACGCGAATACCTGGAGCATCTCGGCGGATGGCATGGCAATGGTTGGTGAATGGTTATTTAATGGTTATTTAATGGTTATATATTGGTTAATGGTTATAATATCCCCATAATTAATGGTTATAATGATAGTAATAATGGGAAACTATATGGTTATAATCATGGTTATATATTGGTTGTAATGATGATATCCCCATAATTATGGTATACCCTAACGAGAGATCTAATGGAATTCATACCCTCTGGTAAACTGTCACAGTTTGCTGTGGAAAGATCCACCATTTTGATGGGGATTCATCAACGAACTATATTTCTATGGCCATGTTCAATAGCTCTGTTAGTTTATAGTATATTAACCACCAAAAAAGCCATTAACCATCATTAACCATAAGGGTATTAATTAACCACTAATTGGTATTACTATAACCAGTAGCAAACTGTAAGACATAGAGAACATCACCATTTTTAATAGGTAAGCCATCTATAAATCATTTCCCATGGCTATGTTAAATAGCCAGAGGGGATAATGGATTGAACGGGGATGTTTTCACCAAGCCATGGGGGATGTTTCACCAACCGAGCAAGCCATGGATGGTGGTGCTACGGCGACCACTTGAGAATGGAGAAAATTTTCACCAGGCCATGGGAATACTCAAAAAAAATATGAATGGGATACCCTCTGGTAAACTGTCCCATAACTATGGAAAACCACAATTTTTAATGGGGATTCATCAACTATTTCTATGGCAATTTTCAATAGCTACGTTAAATTACCAGAGGGTATGTCAACAACACTCTGATTTTTTGGCTTTGTCCGAAAATGGTTTGTTTTTTTTTTCTTCAAAAAATGTGGCAATTTTTTCATGGGACAATCTCATGCCGATCCGATGGAGTTTTTGTTGAGGGACATATTTTTCTGGTGCAAATATGAAAGAAAAATGATGGTTGTTTGGGGAATTCAAGACAGGGTTTTTGAACCAATTTTTTTTTAACTGATCAAATCTTGACCCTAAATCCTGGACTGGTGAGGTGAGTCTGAGATGTCGAAACCTTGTCTGGTTGGTGACTGGAACATAACTGGATTACCCTCTGGTAAACTAACATAACTATAGAAAACCACCATTTTTTAAGGGAAAATCAGCTAAAAATTGCAATTTTCAATAGCTATGTTAGTTTACCAGAGGGTATGACTTTCCATATATTGGGAAGAATAAATTCCCAACTGATTTTCATATGTTTCAGAGGGGTAGGGCTCAACCACCAACCAGCTTGTGGTTTCTCCCGTTAAACAGTGAACTCTCTCTGGACGTTTTCTCCTGCACAATGACCGCTCTCCACAGGTACAACATGCGAAACTTTCCGCATGTTTACAAGCAGATGCCCATGTTCTCGGAACAGGACACGCTGTTGAGAAGGGGATTTCCTTCAAAATAACCAGTAACATCCAGACCATTTGTATATAGATATAGGTAATATATAGGTAATATATAGGTAATATATAGGTAATATATAGGTAATATATAGGTAATATATAGGTAATGTATATATATATATATACACATGTTTTCACCGGTTAAACCATATGAAACAAGATGTTCTCCCACAAAGGATGATCTAAAGATGCCGATCAGCAACGGTGAAATCCGGCCGAATCTCAGACAGAGTGATTCCATGTTGATTCCATGTTTCTATTGAGATTTTCTAATGAATAGAATCTATAGTTTCCATTGATATTCTATAGAATAGTTTTCTAATGATTTTCTTTGTTTCTTTAGATCTATAGTTTCTATTGAGTGATGAATTGATATGATTTGATCTCAATTAGAAAATTCATTCTAAAATCTATAGATCTAAAGCCCAAACAAACTATTTAATTCCCAGAAAAATGAATTGATTTTACATCGGACCTTCTATTTTTGTTTGGGCTTTAGATCTAAAGGTTCTAAATCCGCAGGAGGAACATTGGTGGAAGATGCGCAAGACCTACGTAGCTGAACCGTGGATCAGCAAAAATAAGGAGAAACCACTGACCGGCAAGGTGCGGTGCCCGGGTAAGCGCTACAACCAACTTCATGGTGATGGGTAGTTGAAGCTTACCATCCAAAAAGATAACGTAAAAAAGACAGGGCATCAAAGAGCCATGAGTTGTCAGGTGTTGACTTCAGGATCCAGTTTTCAGCTGTTGTTGCTGTTGCTGCCGCTTGCACCTTTGAGTCCGTACTCTCTGTGTGTGCTTAGCCTTGTTGGCTGTCGGCAGATATACCCGGCCTGGTAAACATACAAAAAGCTATTGAAAATGGCCATTTATAGTGAGTTTCCCATTAAAAATGGTGAGTTTCCATAGTTATGTTAGTTTACCAGAGGGTATACAAAATACAATGTTCATGTGTACATTATACTGCAAACCCAATACTGCATCACCATTTTTGAGATGCGATTTCCGTTTCCGCTATCCCAATATGTTTGGTCAGTGTCTGAATTGAGATGCTGGGCACTTACATTGCGACCTTCATTGCTGAAATCCATGTTTTTTGAATCTTGATGGCCAGAAATCCCGGTCGGGACACCATCCCCTATTTAAGCTGGTGTTATCACCCTTGAAGCCACAGATCTCTTGCCATGTTGGCACCAGAAAATCTGGATGAACTCCGTAGGCTTCTGCCAGTCGCCCCCCTTTTCAGTCGAGGTGACTGAGACTTTCTTTGCTGAGCCCGAAGAAGAACAGGAGAATTGGAGAGGAAATCGTTGAAAAATGTTGATTTTATGAGCGAAAATCATCCGAAAAAACAGAAAAATAAAAATAGGTGACCCAAATGGAGTGAAAAATAAAATTTTCCGAAGGGATGATCCAACTAGCCTGCTGCGTCATTTCTATCCATCCAGATTGGGGCCCATTACTATCATTGATGTTAGTAAAGCAATAACACACCACCCATATTTTGATGGTTTGTTCCACACATTTATGGTAAAATTTGGGATGGTTACTATTGCTTTACCAACATTGCTGCATCACCAAAAATTGGAAGGTTGCAACGAATTCCTGTTCTATAGTTCCTATTTCAAGATCCAAAGTTTGAAGCATTTGCAAACTGCGGGGGTCGCAATGCCAGTAGGGACCTTTACAAAGTGGGTTTTTAAGAAACATAGCTTTTTAAGAAACATAACTTTTTTTTTAAGAAACATGACTTTAAGAAACACACTTTGTGCAAGTGGGGTTGCACCCCAACTGGAACAGGATTATGATGTAACCCCTCTCAGTGACCATTATCATATCATCTTACATCAGAACATCCATCTGATATCTACATCTGCTTAAACAGACAACACTTTTTTTATGTGGAGGTTTCCCAAGCTATGGAGGGGTAGCCCTAGTTATCATGCATTTTATTTTCGAATTTTCCATGCAATAACCCATATTTTTGGAAAACGAACATCCATTTACCAACTATTTTGGATATTCACCATCTACCCTCTGGTAATTTGTTACATAGCTATTGAACATGGCCATAGTTATAGTTGATTTACCCACTCAAAATGAGGTGATTTTCCAGTTCGCTTTTTGTATGTTTACCATAGGATATGTCGCCGATATTTTCCCAATATTTTCCAATACCTGAAGTATTCTCATATTTTTCCTTAATTTTCCATCTATTTTCCCTATATTTCCCTACAGGATGGGGCCCCCCAGTTATAAGTTGGTTTATAAACCATTATAACCACCATTAACTATAGTTATATCTACCATAAACCATAGTTAAGCCACTTATAAGGCAACTTGGCTATCTTGGGGGCCCCATCCTATATATATCACCAAATCACCAATACAATACATAAGTGTGTTTGAAAATTTGAAGAAAAAACCCTCAAAATTTTCCCTATATTTCCCTATAGTTCCCTATATTTTCCCATGGTTTCCAGAGGGTGTTTACCCTCCAGCCGTTCCAGCGTCCCAGGATTACACGGTCGCCGCGGGCGGCAACGCGGTGGACGTGGCACGCTTGGAGCACATCCCGCGATGGTCGCAGCACTTCCTGCCGAAAGGTGGGGATTCCATGGGATTGCCGACGCATTTTCTTGGATTTCCTGATGATGTTTTTCATTTTCTCCATGGGAAATCCACTACTTGGGGAATCTATGGGGAATATTTTTAATTTTTGAATGGTTCCTTCAGCAAATCCATGTTTTTTGGAAGAAAATAGTGGGACTCATATGGTTAAAACAATGCCATTTGCACCATCCCCCAGTCAGAAAAGCATTTTTTTTTGGGTGGTATGGAAATCCCATTCCCAAATGGGTAGTTTATGGTATTGTTTTAACCACATTATCTGAATTTATTTCTGGATTCTGGAATTTATGAGAGAATTTTTTATAGATTTTATATGGAATTTATATGGAATTTATATGGATTTGATCGGTAAGACCCAATGATTTATAGTGGGATGATTATGGCATGCAATAATATTAAATCACCATTATATGATAACAATATATAACAATTCCATAGATACTTCCATGATATCTGATGATATCTGATGATATCTGATGATATTTGATGATATTTGATGATATTTGATGATATTTGATGATATTTGATGATATTTGATGATATTCCTGAAATTTGGGAGTAGTTCCACGTGGTTTGTTTGATGAGGGTTCCCGTAGCTGTACTACATTCAGGATTCAATTGTGATTTGTTGGTGATTTGCGCATTTTTCAGGATTGACACAGCAGAAACAGGAATGACACCATCAATTCATGATAGTGGAGTGGAGGTTTTAATATGTTTTAATCATGGATAATCTCACTATAACAAATCATGTAACCTGTCATGAAAGTAAGCTGTTAACCTGTTGGAACTCAGGTTTTCAGACCAACTTGAATCCTTCTGGGGGTTAGGGGTAAAACTATCCAGTTTTTTTTTTGGGATTACGGGATTACTCCACATGATTTCTGGTTGAATCCCAAGGATTTCGAGAAAGTCTCCCCAATAAGGTGGTTCTGGTACTCTGCCAACATGGACACCCCAAGATGTCTTTGGGTTTTTTCGAAGGTTTTCCCAGCGACTTTTTCAGTTTCCAGTCCTTGAATTTCAGCTACCATTTTGCTTGCTCGAAGCTCTGTTTGGCCTGTCAACCCCCCACCCCCCACATTTTTTTGCAGCTGACATGCCACCTCAGCTTTTACTAAACTGACACTCTCTTGATCTTGTCTCACCGCCACCACACAACTATGTTTTATAAGTCGCAACCCTTTTAGTTGGTATTTTTCAATGTTTATACGACCACCAAGCAATGGACCATGGTTCTTACTCCAACATTTGGTCTTTTCCCGCATATTTTCCTTTTCCGCCAAATCTCGAAACCCAAACATCACCAGCCACCAAGCATGAACCGTCATCAACCATCGCTAACCATCATTAACCATGTTTTTTTTTATAGATTTTCGTGAAGATTAAGCATCATCCACCATCCCCCTTAAGGGCCCCGTCCCCTTAACGCGTTGCCGCGTTGCCGCGTTGCAGGTTTGATGGCCAAAGTGCCACGACACTTCGATCGACTCTTTGAAGGGGCCGATGGAGTGGCGGAGGGAGTGCAGCTGGGCTTTCGAAAAATGTGTCCGGTGGAGTTCACCATAAGGGTTTGTCTGAAAATAGGGTATATTCCCAATGAAATAGCCATTTAATAGGGATAATGATCAGCAAAACCATTGGGTTTAGGGGTACACTATTTTCAGACACACCCATAAAGAATGAGTGTTTTGAAGTGGGTACAATGCCATAAACCAGCCTATTTTTGTTGTTTATAGCAGATAAACATGGTGATGACTGGGGGATGGTGCAAATGGCATTGTTTTAAGCACATAAATTTTATGGGATTCAATTGATGGGATTTATGTATAAGTTGGGTTGTAAAATGGGATTAGCACCGGAAACAAGTTTTTTTTTTAATGGGATTACAATGAGATTTCTAGGGATTACGAGCGAAAAAAATGGTTTACATGATCTAGAAATGGTGGTTATAATAGGCCATGAAAAGGGTATATACCCTTTGGTTATGACTAACAGTTTGCCATGGAAAATCACCATGCTATTAATAGGTAAACCATCTATTTCTATGGGCCATTACGGGCCATTTTCCATGGCTATGTTAAATAAACAGAGGGTATATATATATATATGTATAAACCATGGGATAATGTATGAGAATGGATTACTTTATCAACGATGATGATAATGGGATAAATATACAACACCCAGCAAAAAACAATGTCTTCTGGAAAGGTATCTAAAACTAATCCCATTCCTCTAATCGTGAACAACCAGTCCAGATCCACATAGAATTTCTGGATGTTTCTTATGATTCAGAGTGAAATCGTTTGGTGGACGAACCTCCCATTTTTTTTCCATTGCCGCAAATAATGGGGATAATCATCAGACACATGAAGATAGCATCAGATAGCACCATACAATAACCATTCATAGGATAGGACATTGCAATTTCCCACTAGTAAATTTCCAAATATGTGTGTGTGCTTGAAAATGAGGCACACCACCAAATGGCTATGTTACTCGGGAAACTGAGGTTTTGAACCATCGATTTTGAGGGGGTTTTCCCCAAAATTTCAAACACACTTATACTTATCTATTGTATTGGTGATTTGGTGATATACCCTCTGGTAAACTAACGTAGCTATGGAAAATCACCATTATTAATG